AACCCTAAGCCTTGTGAGGGTGAGACCATGAGTCATTTGGAAGTAGTATTCAGGGCTCTGAAAAAAGAAAGTAACTTTCCAGCACAGCAAACCTCAGGACAGACTATGGAACACAGAGGTCCCCAAGGAGGCACAGAAACCAGGGACTGAGCAGAAGACAATCTAGCCTGACCAGAGCAGAAAGCATTCTTTTAGCTGCATGGAACTTTAAAAGAATTTCTGTTTCTTTACTTATTTTTTCTGATAATTTTATTATGAAACTTTCAAATACACAAGGAAAGGTGAAAAAGTGTTATAAACACTCATAGATTTTATCACAGTATTCTACGCTGGCTGCTTTATCATATATTAATTCAATTATTTATTTTCCTGTCTAGTAATCTGAGTTAGTTATTGATGGACTTCAAAGTAAGCTGCAGACTTCAGTACACTTCTCCTAGTATTTAAACATGTATGTTATTAACCAGAGCTCAATATATGTATGTGAGTCCATCATTTCTTTGGGACAGAATTCATATATAACTGTTATAGTTTGGATTGAGTGTCCTCCAAAGTCTCATATGTTGAAGGCTTTGTTGCCAGCCAGGGCACTATTGGAAGTGGTGTGACCTTTTGGAGGTGGGGCCTAATGAAAGGAAGTTAGGTTATCGGTGGCTTACCTGAGAACCAGCCTCATCCTCCCTCCCTTCCACTCCACCACGTCTTTCTCTCATCCCCAACTTCCACGAAGCAAGCAGTTTTGTTCTACCACACCAAAATATACAACCTCACTCTGGGGCCAAAGCAACAGGGGCAAGCAACCATTTTGTCATAGAGACAGAAAGCTAACACAACAAAATACACAGATGTTTTAAGTACCATGTGGATTTCAAACAAGAAATTTTGAGGTTAATGCACAATCTCTTTTATGTTAGCACCTTAACACATTAATTCCTTTTCCATTAATAAATTTGTTAGGTATACTCTTAACAAAATATATATATAAGGTATATGTGGAAGAAGACTATAACACTCAGATTAATGAAATTAAAAAGCTAAACAAAGGCAGGAAAATTGCATGTTCATGAATAGAAAGAATATTGTCAAAATGTCCAATTTTCTGCAATTTGATCTATAGACTAAAAGCAGTTCCAGTTGAAAATCCCAGAAAATTGTTGTGTAGGGTGCCAGTGCTATGTCTTCCAAATCCAGAGCCACTCAGCTAGGCCTAGCCTCTGACCACAGGTGCAGTGTCTATATCCTTTAACCCACATGTCTCCTGGGATCTCCTTCCAACCTGATCACAGCTCTCTGACCATGAATGCATCCCATGACTGCCTCTCACCAGTCACTATAAGAGGGCAACTCTGGGAGCTCATCTGAAGCTGTATTGTGGCTGCTGTGAGTCCTGGGTTGAAAAAATCAATTCTTCCCCACATGGTGCTGGACCAGGCATGCTCTCCAGGCATCTGGTGGCACTTGGACTGGAAGCACTCACTGGCTGTTGACTGTTGAAAGACTCACAGGGGAGCAGAATCCTGAGTCTCTGCAGATTCCAGCAACCTCTACTGTGTTTCTCTCTGAGGCTCCCTGGAGTCCCAGCTTTTGCTTTTGCCTGCTGGTGCCTGAATCCAACACAGATGTGGGGTGGCTGCTTCTTTATCTGTCAGCCTGAGTAGGGACATGTCTTGATTTGGAAAAAAACTATGCATCCAAAATCACAGAGAAATCTCTTTTCTTCTTTTTGCGCATTTGTTCTTCTTTCCTTTCCTATTTCTTTTTAGCTAATTTATTGGCACCTTCCTTTATTCTTTTTCCTTGTTAATTTTTTAGTATCTTTTTTCATTTTTCTTTATTTACATTTTTCTCTCTTCAATTTTTTCGCTCATTTTTATTCCACATATAATTTCTCTTGCCCCTTTTTTGTTTTTATGTACTATTTGTTATCAGTTTTTTGTTACCTTTGCATAATTCTATAAACATCTTTATACTCCCCAGTAGGATCTTTTGTCCCGCTTCTCTCTCCTTTTCCTCATATCATATAGTTTAAGGTTTCAAATTTTTCTTACATTCCCTTGTTGTCAGCCCCTTTTATCTTTAATAGTACAACCATAAAGCTTTACTGGTCTTTAGATAACTATAAAATTGCTGTTGAATTCTTTTCTACCATTAGCAGAGATACAGCTGTTGCATTTAGTACACTGATACCTTAGTTCATAAACTTAATTTGTTTTGTGATTTGGGGGAAGATGGCTGCATTTATGTTGGCATGGGGAAGATGGCTATGGTTGTGTTTGTTATTCCATGTGGAGTTTGTGAACAGAAGTAAAATTTTGTCGAATACTTTTGTTTAAGAACCAACTTGTTGTGAACAGAAGTATTCATGAATAAAGGTATTTACTATATATATTAGTTGTAAGTCAATGCCTTGGTTGACTTAATGTTTACATTATAGTTATGGATTTCTTCTCTAGGGTTAAGTGTGGTATATAGTTGGTTTTTCTGGTATGTTAATATCCAGTTTATCCTGGATGATAATACTGTAGCTAATTTGCTTGATATTACCAGGATTGCATAATTGTTGCTATTAATGGGGTTTTTCCTCTGTAAACCTACACCCAGATGACCACTGGGACATTAACAACACTAGTGTACATTTCCAGAGAACTTAATGTTGGGCCAGTTACACTGCATCTTCCCCTCCAAAACTAACCAAAGTGGTTGGATCATAGAGCAGAGGAGGTATAGTTAGCCATTCCCAATGTAGCTCACAGAAAAGTGGCTAACTACAGATATCTCTCTACTAGCAATAAAATCTTTACACAACATCCATTCCTGATAAAAACTCTGAAGATGTATAAAGTCTGTATCTTAATTTAATAAAAACCAAATATGACAAACCAATGACCAGCTTCATATTAAGTGAAGAAAAGCTGAAAGCTTTCCCTCTAGAATCAGAAACAAAACAAGGATGTCCATTATCACTACTCCCATTCAATAATTGTTCTCAAGACATTAGCCAGAGCAATCAGGCAAGAGAAAGAAATAAAAAGGATACAGACAGGAGAGGAAGAAATTAAATTATCATTCTTTGTAGATGACATAATTGTCTACAGTGAAGACCCCAAAAACTCTAACAAAAGGCTCGTGGGATTAATAACAAAATCAGTAACATACAAGATACAAAATCAACACTTGAATATTATTCCTGTACACCAACAATAAACTCACTGAGAAGGAAATCAGGAAAAAGTACCTTTTATAATAACACCAAGAAAAGTAAAATACTTAGGAATTAATGTAACCAAGGAAGTGAAAGACCTCTACAGTGAAAATTACAGTGCTTTGTAAAAGGAAGCCAAATAAGATATCGGAAAGTAGGAAGATGTCCCCTGTTCCTAAATAGGCAGAATTAGAGAAAACAATGCTAAAACTCATTTGGAACCATAAGAGACCTAGAATAGCAAAAGCAATTCTGGCCAACAAAGGCAAGGCAAAGAGCCTCACAACCCCAGACTTCAATTTGTACTACAAAGATACAGTGATTAAAATCCAAATGGTACTGGGGAAAAATTGTGAATCAATGTAACAGAATAGAGGAAACAACTCCGGGTACACTCAGAAAATGGCTAAATACTTTCACTGGATGAAAGATAGCTTCTTTAACAAACTGTGCTGGGAAAACTGGCTTTCTACATGCTCAAGACTGAACCTAGACCATGCATCAAACTGAAATAAAAATACATCAAAGATTCACAATTAAAACAGAAACACTTAATCTAAACATTTGGAAGACAAAATAGATAAAACTCTTGAAAACATAGGTGTAGGCAATGACTTTATTACTTTGTTTACTTTTTGGTTGATGTAGATCAAATTTAGGGCTTCACACATGCTAGACAATTGCTGTGCTACTGAGCAATATCTCCAGCCCAGAGTTGGTATTTCATAACATGTTTATAGGGCTGGGGGTTTTGCTCAGTGGTAGAGCACTTGCCTGCATGCCTAAGGCCCTGGTTTTGCTCACCAGTACTTAAAAAAAAATAACAAAAAAACCTAGATTTACAGGGAATCCATGCCTGACAATAATAGTACCAAACACTACATATCATATTTTTCCTGTATATACACCATATTATGATAAAGTTAATCAATTACACACAGTAGGGAATTAACAACAATAACAAATAATAAAAAAAAATAATTGTGATATACTGCAATAAATATGTGTAAATGAATCTCTCGAAATAGTTTATTTTCACCTTTTCACTTAAAGAAAACATTTTATGGCTTCTCTTTGAAATATCCATATTGGCAGCATCAACATTCTTAGACTTCAGGGCCATTATTAAGTAAAATGACATTACTTGAACACCAGTACTATGATACCAAGACCAAGAAGGCTCCTAAGAAACTACTGGGCAGGGAGTAGAGATAGCGTGGATATGCTGGATAAAGGAATGATTCACATCCCAGAGAGGACCAAGTAAGACAGCATCATAACGCTACTTAGGAATGGCATGCAATTTAAAACTTCTGTGTTATTTATCCCCAGAATTTGCATTTAATATTTTCAAACTACAATTGAAAGCAGGTAACTAAAACCACAGAAACTACAGACTAAGGGGAGACTACTGTAAATATAACCTAGTACTGTAGTTAATTTTGTTGTATTTGTGGATATTTCATCTCAGTTCAAATTTTAACTAGCTAAATAGGAAATCATTTGGACTTTGATGCCATGTAGCCTCAGTTCTGCTGTCCTAGCCCAAAGCAGCCTAAAACAGCATGTAAACGAGGGCATTTGATGTGCTAATAAAACATTATTTGTAAAAGTAGACAGTGAGCCATAGTTTCTGACTCCTGATCTCAAATTGTAAATTAGAAGTTTCTGTGTTTGTTTAATAAAGGTAACATTATTAACATGACACAATAGTGGTAAATATTTCTCTCTCCCCACACAAGCCTTTTTGCTATAAAAATGGTGACCAACATTAAGATGAAGCTGAATCTAAGTCCCCAAATCTTTCAACTGGAAAAAGAATTCCATTGAATTGGTGTGGCAGAGCTTGACTGGCTGCTACGCAAAGCTGTTTCTCCTTCTCTCTGGGTGCACTCAGCAAGACTACACTTCCCAGCTTCCCTTACACTGAAGGTGACCAGCCAGTGCTATCTCAGCAAAAGTGACTGACTCAGCTCCAGACCTGGCCTGAGAAAACCTCCATTTGTTCTTCCAATTTACACGCTGAATGCAGAGCACTGTAAGGTTGTAAGGTGGGCTGAGGGAAAGGAAGAGAGAGAAGAGAGAAAGGGGGAAACATATGCCAGTTTTTTTGTCTTTTTAAAAAAATTTTATTTAAGGAGAAAAAGAAAAAAGCAGAGAAAGGGTATAAGTTACACAGATTTACAGAAAAAAATAAACAGTAAGAAATCACTAGTTAATGGATTACATATTGTATTCTTAGAAATAATTGTTCAAGTTACAAAATTAAAGCTTATAAAGTGGACATTCCAACAGTGAGACTGCAAACAGTTCTGTTCAATGATCCAACAAAACTCAGTAATATCATTATCAATCTTATACACTTAAATATACATGCAGTTATATCTTTTAGAGCACTTTCTTTTCCTCTCTTTTGTACAATGACAATTGCACATTTTGGGTTTTGTTGCTCCCACAGTTCTTATTACTTTTTTGGAAGAGAGTAGAACCAAATGTGACATAACAGAACAGTCAGGCAAATCAAAAGGGTGGACATAATAGATAATATAAAAGCATAATACAAGGTGATCAACAATGGTTACTGAAAGAGTTGCTGGCCCAGACCGGACACTTTAACCAGGAAAAGCTGCAGCCGCTGCCTCCCCCGCCCCTATAGATTTGCCTGTAACCCTATACCCCCATCCCTGTAACCCTGGCGCCAAAACGTGTGCCAATGAAATACCTGTACATCCCTAATGCCCCTTGGGGTCCACCCCAGACAGAGGTTACTTATGGGCCTGACTCCATGTGTTAGAGAAAACAAGAGAAGAAGAAGAAGGAGAAAGGGAGAGTGTGTTCCAGAGAGAGACCACCGGCCCTGGGTGCAGTGGAGATGCTGTGTCCCGGGGCCGGGGGGGTATCTCCCCGCATTCCCGAAATAAAGCCACCACCGCCCACTACTTTCACGGCCGTCCACTCCACTCCTTCCACGGACCTCTTTCCCTTCCCTTCCCCTCTTCTTCCCCTTCTTCTCAGACCTAACAGATGGTGCGTGTGACTCAACGGCAGGTGAGAGACTATAATTTTCCCAGTTTTGTTTTATGGTCCCCTGCTGGTCAAGATTCTTCACTTCTACACTCACAAATCGACTCACAAACTCAACTGCTGTTTCTCAACCAACAGCCATCTGGTGAGTAACTCCCCTGAGATAATTTCTAAAACAGGCTCTTTGTTTCCCAGCGCGTGCTCCCTCCTCCCTCTGTCCCCATCCCGCGCGCCCTTCGTTCCGGCTCTGGCATGCAGCCTCAGCGACCATGGTGGGGGGGCACCGGTGGTCCGGCAGTCACGAGTCAATCTCCCACGGGGCTGGCGAGGCCCGGACACCCGGAGGGGCCAGCACAGCAACTCTGGATGCGAGCCGCGGCCCTTCCCGTAGATCGCCCCCGCCCGCGCCCGGCTCCTCTCCCTCCCCCCTCCCACCGCGTTATAGCTCCCTTTGTTTCCCACTGTACGCCAGCCAGTCTGCCACCGCCGTTCTGCCGAGGTTTAAATGAGACCAGAAAATAAGAGATTCACATAAAACTGCTTTAGATTTTAAACAGCTTTTTTTTCTTTTCGCTCTCACATCGCGTTGCAATTCTGTGGGCCCCACAGTTTCAGCCTCTCGCCCAGCCCATTCCATGTTGCGCTGGCTCATTCCAGCGAGTCATTTCTGCCACCACAGCGCTTGCCAGGCACCCCACACCCACCGCCGCGTCCCTGCGCCATGCCCCCACCACCCGCCATCGCCGCCCAGGAGCCGCCGCTTTCACAGCACGCCCGAGTCCGGCGCGGCTCATGAGCCTTCAGAGCAGAGCCCGCTTAACTTCATGCTGTGCGTCTCCCGCTGCCACAGCGTAGTCCTCACCCCGCCCCACATGTGGGGCCCCACGCGCAGCAGGCCGTGCCCCTGACTGCCTCTGCCGCCACCTCGGCCGCCGCCCTGTCCCTCCGGGGGACTGAATGCGAGCTGCAGCTGCCATCAATCTGAAGCCAGGCGTCACCTCTGATCACCACTCCGGGCCTCCAAGCCCCACCCCCTTATGCGGTCACAGCGAAACGACGTCATTTCCCTGCGCCACTTAGCACATCATAGTAAGCCTCTTATTGCTGCTCCGCTTACTGTACCAGCGTTCGCCCCACCCACTCTACATGTTCCTTGCCAGCCTGCCCCTCCGCAGCACCGGGCACACAGGCTGCCACTGCTGCCCCACAGCACTGGACACACGCCAGGCGCGTGCCACGGCCACCATAGTTCCATGGCGCCAGACGCCACTTCTGATCACCACTCCAGGCCTCCAAGCCCCACCCCCTTACGTGGTCGCAGCTCCCTGCGCCCTCTTAGCGCGTCACAGATGGCATCTGGGTGGGACCTCAGCCTGCCTGCCCCGCCTACCGTGTCCTGCGTTCGCCCTGCCCACTCTACATGTTCCATCCCGCCCCAGACACAAACTCTGCTCTCTTCCTACAGGTGCTATCTCAGTGTTTCAAGCTGCCTTTAACACTGCGCGTTTCCAAAGTCTTGCAGCCCTGCCCAAACTTTTTTTTACAATTCAGTTCCACTCGAGAGAGGCTATTTTTTTCCTTACAATTTTTCTACCATTTATTCACTATTACTGGCCACCTGATAATTTTACCAACCTGCCTGCCTTATAATCTTAAATGCCAATATTAAGCTCCTACATACTTAATTCTACAGATAACTTTTACTATAGTCCAGATCTCAAACAACAAGGCAAAACTTGACCTTCAAGCTCCACAGAGACCTTGCTATGGTTGTTCATATTTTAAATAACACCTACAATTCTGAGACAGACAAATCTACACAAGGTTAAGCTACTCCCCCCCCCCCCCGCCATGGGCCTCACTCAAATTCATCAGACATTCTTCAAGACCTTACTCCAGGGCTATTTAGGCTATCCTGGCCACCAGAGAGTGGCCTGGCCATCCTACCTGGTAGCCCTCATAGGTCACTGCCAAAAGACCTTATTCCACGGCTGTTGGGTTATCCTGGCCACCAGAGAGTGGCCTGGCCACCCTAGCTTGTCACCCTCAAAGGTCACAGGGGCCAAGCGCCTTGGTAGATGTCTGTCTCAGAATCCAAATCACATTAAAACTCTCGAGGTAAGACATTCTCTATATTCGTGGACATAAGAGACCACATATACAGAGTTCTTACTGAGTTGTTAGGATAATAAATCCTCAATGTTTCATGGAGTATTAAAGGTCAACCTATGCCAGTTACAAACAGGGCCCATTTTTATACAGGTCCCAGTCCTAAATCCTAAAATGCTTTTATTCCCTTTTAAACTGCCATTCTGGTTTTACATCACTCAGGCCCTAGATCTAACCATCCTTTTGATACTCATCTCTGCCTTATGACTCACAGGTTGTCATGTTTTGTTATCCAGTTTGATTCTTAATTTCTTACATTCTATTAATGATCATTTCTATACCAGGACTCTCTAACAGGATTGCCTACAGACTCCAACGTCATATATACCAGAGACAAGCCTTACCTACCTACCTTTTAACTTTTATGCTTTCATATGGGGGAGTAAACACCTCTCATAACTTCACTCCTCTTAATCCCACATTTATTTTTCAGAATTCTGTCTTGCCACCTCAACGTCATCCTGATAATATAACAGGTCTAAATCAAAGACACCTTTCCCTCTACCTCACTTGGGTCCATAAATATGACAGTGCCATGTCTCCTCATAACATCTTGCCCCTTTGTTTTTTCCAGTCTAACATACGTGCATTCACCAGTGAAGTTGTCCTGGCTAAAACACCTAACATCAGCGTCTACCTGGGCATCAACCTTCATCCCGTCAACTCCCCTAGACCCCAATACAGCGCCCTCAGCCAGCAGGAAGTAGTTACAGAGAAAAATCTTCACCCCTTTTCCTAATAATCATAAGACAGGATATGAAAGAGTTGCTGGCCCAGACCGGACACTTTAACCAGGAAAAGCTGCAGCCGCTGCCTCCCCCGCCCCTATAGATTTGCCTGTAACCCTATACCCCCATCCCTGTAACCCTGGCGCCAAAACGTGTGCCAATGAAATACCTGTACATCCCTAATGCCCCTTGGGGTCCACCCCAGACAGAGGTTACTTATGGGCCTGACTCCACGTGTTAGAGAAAAAAAAGAGAAGAAGAAGAAGAAGGAGAAAGGGAGAGTGTGTTCCAGAGAGAGACCACCGGCCCTGGGTGCAGTGGAGATGCTGTGTCCCGGGGCCGGGGGGGTATCTCCCCGCATTCCCGAAATAAAGCCACCACCGCCCACTACTTTCACGGCCGTCCACTCCACTCCTTCCACGGACCTCTTTCCCCTCTTCCTCTCCCTTCTTCTGAGACCTAACAGTTACCATAATGCCTCCCACTATCTCTAGTAGAATTGCCTATATCATCAGTTATAATAAAATTGAACAAAACAGTAAAGAACAAAACTGGCAAAACCAAAACATTGGAGACATTATAGGTCTTCAAAAGTAGGTAACAGTCAACCAGAATGGGCGTCATAATGAATCCCACTATCTTCACAGCTGTTGCCTAAACTTTTGAACCTGGTACTATCAAGCAAAATAGAATAGAGGGACATCAGTCAAAACAAGATGGTGAGAGCAATACAGGGCTTTAAATCAAGATAATGGAAAGTCAAAGTGGGTTACTATAATATATCCTGCTATTTTTAAATTTATTTTTCCCTTAATTAAAAGGATAAAAATAAAAAAGTAAATAATAAAATGGAGATTGAGATAAAAGAGGGCATAACAGCAAAACAGCGCAGATCAAAACATAACCATTTAAGCAAAATACTGTTTCACCACAAGATAATCCCGACATAAAAGTAGTTACCATATTGTCTCTTTCCTTGAAATCTTTGAATATAACTTTGTATACTGTAGCATCAAATATATCAAAATAATGTAAAACCATTTAAGAGAATGACAGTATTACAGGGTATTTAGAATCAACTAACAGAAAATGAACAATGGTTTCTGTATAATCTCCTTGTCTATAAAAGTTTTTCCTTATACTATCATACATAATAAAATCCAATAAGATACAACCTGTTTAGACCAATGGAGACAGAAGAACAAAAGCTTGATGAGACTTCAAAACAAGATGATACTAAATCAGTATTACCTATTAAGACGTCATTTTCTCCAAAATAGCTGTTCCTATCATCCAATCTTCTCTGCCTCATTTCTGTTGAGCTCTTTTTTGTCATTAGTTGTCAGTTTGTCTTCTTCATTTTGTTTTCTGCTCCATTCATTGTGGCCTCTCTGCCACTATTTCTGGATTCTTCATATTTTTCTTTTTTAGAATATCCTGCAGTATTCTCTGTAGAGTTGAATTGGTGGTTGCATATTCCCCTAGTTCGTCTTTATCCTGGAAGCATCTTCTTTTTTCCATCAATTTCCAGGGATAGTTGTACTGGATATATCAATCTTGGCTGGAGATTATTATCCTTCAAAGCTTGAATTATTTCCCCCCCCCCATGCTCTTCGTGATTTGATGGTTTGTGCCAAGAAATCTGCTGTAATTCTGATGGGTGTTCCCTTGTAAGTGATCTGTTTCTTGTCACTGACGGCTTTTAATATTCTGTTCTTATATTGGATTTCTGGAATTTTAATTATTATATGCCTGGGTGTTGCTCTGTTTGGATTGTAGGTGGCTGGGATCCTGTATGCTTCATACAACTGAGTATCTTTACCTTTTGCTAAATTAGGGAAATTCTCCTGGATTATTTCTGAGTAGCTTTTGTAGTTCATTTGTTTGTGTTCCTACTTCTTCTTTGATGTTCTTAATTCTTAAGTTATAGATCCTCTTATCATCTTCTAGTCTTTGTATTATTGCTGTTTGTTTCTTTGTTATTTTTAAGAAGTTTTTCATTTCATTCTCCCATATTACAAATCTGGCCTCCAGTTCAGATAATCTGCCCTTAGTTTCTTTTAAGCTGTTATGCCAGTTTTCGATAGAGTTTTTAGTTTCCTGGTAATCTCTTTGAACCTGCTTCATGTATTCTATGCTTTCTCTATTTTCTCCATCAAACAATTCTCCCCTCTTTTTCTGTTCTTCCATTCCACCATCTGTTTTTTCTTGGGTGGTGCTTAGCATTTCTCTAACTATTCTGCTTATGTCTAGCTTCAGATCATTAATAACTTCATTCCTGAACTTGTCTATGAGGCTCTGGAGATATCACTTTATATCTATTGGTGCTGTGTCTGCTATTGCCTCTTTCTCAGGATTAGGGGCTGAGGACCCTTTCTTGTTGCTGCCTCTTCCCATATTCTTTGTTCCTTATATATGCAAGCATATATAGGAGGCCCAGCTTCCTTCCCTGTCGGCCACAGTCTGATTGAATTGTGCCGGCTAGGTGTTCCTGCCCACCACAGTGCACCAGGAAGGTGCAGACCAGGCAGCCTATATGGGGCCCGCCCCTCCAGGTCAGTCTACCTTCAGGCGCTGGGACCTGGGTTGTGCTAGCCTACTGGGTCTCAGCCAGCAGCGTCAGGTAGGCTAGGCACTGCTCACCAATCCCGCTTGAGAGGGGGATACGTGACTGAAGTCACTGCAGTACCCTGTTCCCACAAGTCTGCCCAGTCCCAGAATGTCCTCTGTTGGAGTCTCCTAGATCGTGGAAGAGTCCCAGTTTCTCTCACTCACCGCAGCTCAATGCACAGCTCCCCGCCTGTCCTGCTTTCAACTCTGTTCACTGATTCCCATTCTCAGAGCTTTCGCTCGTCTCTCTCCCTGCCGAGTGGATGTAGACACAGCAGTGGCGGCGAGAAACCCAAATCGTGGCTTCTAATGGCGTGGGCTCCAGCTTTCACACTGAGGCTTTTCTGTTCCTGTTATAGCACCAGGATTGCATTCCCAGTTGGTTTCTCTCAGCCCAGTTCGTTCTTGGGTCAGCAGGGCATATCTCCACTTGCTTATGATTCCTTACTCCGCACCATTCCTGAATTCTAAGCTGGGTCTTTCAGAGAGCCTCCGTAGCTGCTGCTATCTGTCCGCCATGTTCTCCCGGAAGCCCATATGCCAGTTTTATTAGGACTAATTTTGATTAATGAGGACAAGAGATTTCGTTGCCAAAAACAGAGAGAAGTCTAGGCAGGTAGTTCTGCTCACCTGGAGATTTCCCTCCCAAACTCATCATTTCATAGCCCCATGGAACTCACTGGACTCTGACTTTGTGTAATGGCCAGCATCCATTGGTCCTTCCCTGATGGGCCTGGTCATCTGTCGTCAAATGTCATCTGTCTGCTCACATTTTTGTGTTCATCCATTCCCATTAAGGAACGAAGAATACATAACACATAGCTCTACAGACAGACACAGCTTTAAGAAATGAGAGCTGTATGCATAGTAATGCTTTCCTTATTAGCAATATTTAAACTACTATCTTTCTACGCTTCATGCAAACCTTTTCCTTTCCAGGTGTCATATATTTTTAGACTGAACACATTCTTAACACTATAGTATAGACTCACTAGTTTTGATACTCAAGTCATGATATTTGAAACTCTCTAATATTCAAAAGCAAGCACAGGAGCTTTTAGGCCCATGGTGCTCTTTCCGAATCCGTAAGACACGGGCAGAATGTACATTACAAGAGCCCAATTTCTCCATATAAAATTATACTTAGAGTGCAAAACCTAGAACTAGTCAAAATACTTCTGCCCAGACTCCCTCAAAGTGACAAAACCAGAAAAGAGACATCTTTGGACTGTTTTCTCATCTTTCTAACCAATTTTTTTTAACCCTACAAAGGCAGTAATCTTGAAAATTTGACACAATGGAAAAAGAAAAGGTTTTCCAATTCCCGAAAGCATTCCATTACTTATCAAAAGAAGGGACTGAGACAAAGGGGCTAATACAAAGTAGAGTATAAAGAGGACACAGGCTGTCTCATGGTTTACGTATGCTTTATCCTTCTGAAGCCCACATTGAAGTTTAACGCTCACTGGGAGATGGTAAGAGGTGGGACAGGTGGAAGCTTTAACAGGGGCTTAGGCTCTCCCTCAGAAATGGCTGAGTGCCCTCAAGTGATTAGTGGGCTATCTCCAAAGGCCTGGGTCTTCTACCAGAAAAGCCAGGTGGGCCACCTCTGTCATAGGCTCCCCGCCTCTACTGTGGTTCCTCGTGTTCTTCCAGAACTCTGCCAACAAGAAGGCTGTCATCGAGGCAGGACCATCCAGAAGCACCGGCCACAATACGCCTCTTTTCTTCATAATCTTCTAGTCTGTGGCCTGGTGTTCTTTCTGAAGAGCCTTGGAAGGCTTTGTGGAGGCAGCTGTCAAGGAAGAAGGCAGGCAGTGACCCCCGGTGCTTTCTCCTCCTGGCTCCTGGGATTGAATACAGAGAAGAGAAATGAAATCTCCAACGAGAAAAATACCAGAGGGACAGGGGGCTGGGCACGAGGCGTGAGTTAAACTGGGTCCCAGGCCCTGTGCAGTTTTTGGGAAGGCCAAGAATAGGATGCCAGTGTCCAGGGCCAGGATCCAGAGATGCCTGCAGCCCACAGATTTGCCCTGGTGCTGAATCCATCTAAGAAAGTCTGAGGAAGGCCTCTGAGGAGCGACCCTGCAGGAGGGCAAAGCCAGCTTGGACCAGGGCTGCCTCCTGGAGGATGGCAGCCAGGCAGCTCAGCCCTCGCTGTACTTTGGATGCTTGGCCTCTAGGGGGCGGGTGGTCATCTGGACTGCCCGCATTCTCCCAGCCTCCTAGTCTGGCTTTCCCAGTCCTTGAAAGAAGTTTCCCCAGTGCTCAAACGCCTGTTGCAGCTTTACCAGTCAGTGTTTTGCATCAGACTTTACTTTGCAAGCTGTGTTGTGACACCCTAGATTTTTTTTCTTTTTCCATTACTAAATATACATTCTATAACTTGAGTATATTATTAAAATATGCATACCGCGCCACACAAGTGCACACACACTTATACACACACACCTTCTTCCCTTTGAGAGTGACCAGGAGCCCTGTCAATAAGGCTGTTCTCCGTGACAGTCTGGACAGGCCAGATTCAGTGGAGCGACTTCTGCACTGGGCCTCTCCACTATGACCTGCCTCTCTCACGCCTCTAGTTTTGGATCTTTTGCCAGTCCTTTAACTCTTACCCAGAAATGCTTGGGGTTTCATGGCACCTGCGAATATTTGCTTTCCAAAAGGAGAATGGGGAGCAAGGCAATGCGTACAGCCCCCTAAGGTATAAGGGAGTGACTGTTTGAGCCTTTCCCAGCCCTGCATCAGACAGCCAGGGAAGTGTCCCAGATAGTGCCTCCTGTCCCAGCACTCCCCACGCCTCCCCACTAGCGCTGCCTCGGTGGTGCCAGCATGCACTACCAGGAGTGGTGTTAGGATCTGGATCTTTACAAGACGCTCCAAGGCCCGTACGCTAAGTGCTTGGCCATCAGCCTGTGGTGCTACTGGTAGGCGGCTGAACCCTTCAGGGATAAGGTCTAGTGGAAGGAAGTTAGGTGAAGAAGGCATGGCTTTGAAGGGGAAATTGAGACCCCAGACCCTACTTTGTTGTTCACTTCCAGCCATCACTGTATGACGAACTTTATTCTACCAAACACTCCTTGCCATGATGCTCTGCTTTGGTACAGGCCCAAGGAAGCCTGGGCTGGAGTCTCTGAAACGATGAGCTAAAATACATCTTCAGTGCTTTTAATTTGTTTACTTCAGGTGTTTTGTCATGGCAGTGGAAAGCTCACACCTGTTGCCTTCCTTTAGCCTTCACGGGGCTTGGGAAAACATAAATAAGATTTGGCCCTGCTCTCAAGAGTGTCATCACCTGAGAGTAATGTGATGAACTCACTGCACCATCTTTGGTTTTTCTTGCCAATTAGTCTAACATCAGGCTGATCAAAATCCCAGATTTATCAGCTTGCAGTAATTATGGGGGTGTAGAGGGAGAACACATTAAACTACTTCCCAGACGTGCAATCAGCAAAATCCAGATGGCATAAACTTTTGTTTAAAAAATCATGCTAGGAGCAATACAGAGGGAAGGCGAGCCTGAGACAAAAACTCCATAAAATACTATGCTTATGAATACTGATTAGAACAGATAACTCTATTTTTAGGTGATGAAACAATTGGAAAATTTAGGTACTTTTAGAACATTCAGCGATGTTAAGGAATTACTGTTTGTTTTGAGGCGAGTGGTAATGATAGTGGGTTACAGTTCTGAAGAATATTATACTTACATTTTATAGATGCAGTCCATGCAGCAGTATTCATGGGTGAAATGCTTGAAACTCATCCAGGGAATGGCTGGAGAGTAGGTGATAGCATATGGATAGAACAAGATTGCCATGGATTCATGCTTATTGAAGAGAATGATGGGTACAGGGGAGTTTTCTCTGCTTTTGTACAGAGACATTAGCAATGAGCACGTCAAACAGACGTCATTGTCCCGTAAGAGTACGTAAGTAATCAGTGATTCTATTTGCAGCCCAGTCTTCAGGCCTGCATCTCCCCGTCTGCATTCGGGCCTCTCCTACCATCAGAAAGTGAGTTGGCCGCAGATTCCTGCACTCCCATGGGAAGCCGGGAGCCTGGGTGACCCTTCACATTCTGAGAAGTCAGAATTCCGTGAGTAACCAAGTCATTCCTGAACTGTGTCACAGAGAGCCCTGATGGTCCTTTCATTACAGTCACTATCAGTGACACCAGGTCAGCATCTATTGTCTACTAGGCCCTGTGTTTACTGAATGCTCACATGGAGCACATTGCACTTGCTGCAAGAATAGGGCTACCATTCATTGGATCTACTCAGGACTTTGCCAGTATCACCACCAAAAATCCCTTGTCCAGGAAACCCCACAGGGAGGCCAAAGGTGGGTGATCAGTCCCTTGAATTCATACCTCAGTTTAAGTGTTCCAGCCAGGTCTGTCTCCCAGCACAGCCCACACTCCCCATACTGTGACGCCGTGGCTATGCCAAGTTGTAAAAATTGTCTCAATTTTAAGTGTTTGTCCCCCAAATTTTCCCAAGTTGCAGCAGACTGAAACATCAAGGAAAAAATTGATACTGGTGGAAACTGAGGAAATAATGATGACTTTTAGACAGCCTATTTTTCTATGCAGGATTCATCCATATATTCATATTACATAGCCAGATTTTCTACCAGTTCTTCCTTCATATTTGACAGAAGGGCATTAAATGCATCAGTGCTTCCTAGCTTGTCACTGTGAACATCCTGTCCCTGGGGGATCTTTCCTGCCAGTTTAGTGATTTCTGGTGCAAACTGGGCACTCCCTTCCCACCTGCTACACCTCAGGCCAACCTATGCACCCTCAGTCAGGGAAGAGGCTGTGTCTCAGTTTTTGTGTGGTTGCCACATGAATGGAGAAGAAATAATTGTGGAGTCCAGTTGATCAGTCAATAGAGGTAGCCTGGAAAACTGTGCTGAAGATTCTGAAGCCACTTCGATGATTTGGCAAGAAAGCTCTGATTAAACTGGGCCTGGTGGTACTGGCCTGAAATCCCAGCAGTCTGGGAGACTGAGGCAATAGGATCATGAATGCAAACCCCACCAAGCAATTAGTAATTTAAGTGTGTACTCAAATATCTATTATCCTGAGCTTAGGGAAAACCCTTATTTTATAGATAGTAACTGCTACTATTTATTCCACACTTACTATATGCCAATTACGTGGTAAAGTGCTTTACCCATTTTATCACATTTAGGCCTTAAAGTCTGCTCCATTTTGAGTTGATTTTTGTATAAGGCATGAGATGGGGATATACTGTATTTCCCTGAAAATAAAATCTAACTGAAAATAAGCTATAGCCTGATTTTTTCAGGATGCTGGTAATATAAATCCTGCCCTAACAATATGCCCCAATTAAGATGATCCAGATGGTCAGATTTAGTAAGACCACTGAAAAACATAACAGATGTATTCAAATTTTAATAATAATACTAATATGTAACAATATACATAAATAATATTGATATTAATAATTAAAATAAATGATAACATAAATTATAATGAAATATATGTAAATACCTGAGTAGGAGCCTTCGGATGAGACGTAGACACCTATGTAAACAAATGAACTTCAGCACTGCCAAATGTCCAGAGATAATGCATGAATACTGTGTGTGTTTGATAATGAATGGATGTGGTTGTGTCTAATGTGAATCTTCCTAATTCAGTGCTTTGTATGTTGTAATGATGGGCTACGAGCTGACTGCATGCACAGTAAGTGTTGATTTAAGGAGAGTTCTATTGCTGGATGTAAGAGAGTGGGGCCAGCGGTTCTACAGGAAATAGAGTTGCGAGAAATTCAGGCCAGAATTTGGGACTTGAGAATTACAATACTATTCCATGAAGATGACATGTTGGTAGGTGAATAAATGTAGATTTCGATACATGAATAAATTTTTGGTACACAAATAAATGAATAAATGTAGATTGTTGTACATGAAAAAGTAAGATATCTCCTGAGAATAACTCCTCCTGGAGCAAAAATTAACATTAGGCCCAGTCTTATTTTGGGGGAAATACAGTAGTTTCAATCATCTGTATGAGGATACACAGTTTTCTCACAGAACTTTTGATTTTTCACAATGACTTTGAGTTAGGAATCGTTATTGTCATTTGGCAGATGAGGAAGACTGAGGCAGAAACACAATCATAGGTTTCCCAGATCATGCAGGGACTTCACAGCAGAGTGCTAATCTCCACGTTCATGGTCCAGCATCTGTACCAGCAATTCTCAAAGCATAGCTCTGGACTGAGATACTCATGTGCGAAGACAAATTCTCCAGCTCCCCGCCCCAACCTGATGAATCAGAGACCCTGGGGATGGGGACTGGTGATCAGGGTTTCAACAGTGCTGCTGATTCTTATGCAATGCTAAGCTTGGGAACAGCAGCTCTATGTTGTCTCTTTCTGGCCCAAACCACCCAGTTGGGAAAAAAACCATTTAAGCTGGAGCTGAAACACCTCTCTGAGTAGGGCAGAGGGCAGAAGCAATAAGGGAAAGCTTCCCTAAGCACTAAAGGCTGTTGTTGCATGCTTGCTATGTGGACCACACCCACAGTGCAGGGCCAAAGTTTTCTGGTTAATGATCTTCCAGCTATCCTCTACACAGGAGGCTCAGGAGTTTCTGCTCTGGGTTTAAAACGTAGCTTGAGGCATCCAAGTTTTTCCTTTTTTATCAGGTAACCTTCAAATTCGTCATTCATCCATTCATTCACTTACTCATTAAGCCTTTGCTAAATACCTCTGCATACCACTCTAAGTCTAGTGTTAAGAATACAAGGATTAATAATGGAACAGGCAGTTAAGAATCAGCTTCTGGGGCTGGGGATTTAGCTCAGTGGCATAAGCACCTGCCTTACAAGCAGGCAGTCGTGAGTTCGATTCTCGGTACTGATAAAAAGGAAAAAGACAAAAAAAAAAAAAAAAAGAATCCGCTTCCACCTAACTGTCCTGGGCCACTTCTGTAGGAGATGGACACCACACGTGCCCCTTCATGATATTCTAAGGATCTGTTTTTGCACTGAAGTGTGGAATGGAAATGCAGAGCCTTGGATTTGCCTCTAAAGAGCTGTGTGGCCTCCTTTGGGTCTCTTCCCACAGAGCCTTCATTTCTCCATCTGCAAACTGGAGGATAAGAAAGCTCAGGTCTCTGTTTTCTTCCACTCCACACTGCTGGTTTCTGCCTTATCTGTGCTTGTCTGCATATCACTGCCTCCCCATCCTCCCAGACAGGACCTACAACATATGCTATGGCCCAGAGCAAAGTGCAAAATCAGGAACCCTGCTCCCAAAGCATTCAAGAATTTTGAAGGAGTAATGGCAGAGCAGTAAAGCAAGCAGTCACCCTTCCAGGAAGATGGCCCTGGTTGGTAGGCTCTAACAGTTTGATGAAGAGCCACCCACTAAGGGTCCCAGGACAGAGGCTCCTGTATCTATATGTTAAGCGGGCTCGGAGACAGAAAGATCTGGGGTGGAGGGCTGTGACTGGCACAGGGAGGGAGCAACTAAGCCAAGAACCATTGCTTGTTTCATGCCTGTAAGTGGGTGTCTGGGACCGGGCCACAGGTTATGCAGTCTGAATTAATCACTGGCTCCCTTCCCTGCTCTCCGTGAGCTGAAGGAGGCCATGACTTGCTCTGAGGCTGGTAAGGGAGATTTTGCCTTCTCTGGTCATTGCAACTTCTCTTTATATTGCTTAGGATCTCTATGGTGCCATATATTTATTTTTTTCAGAATTTTTTTAACTTTAAAGAGAAAAAAACAGAAAAATCAAAAAGCAAACATATAACAATAATAATAATAATAATAAAAGCAACAACAGAAAAATGACCAAAAAAAGAAAAACAATAGCAACACAGGATTTTAAAACAAGATGATAGAAATTTAACTATGGTTGTTATATTGCACATTGTTATCTTCAAAATAGTTCCTCACGTTACCGGATACAGGCATGCAAGATTAATCAAACAATATAATTTCCTTTTGAGTAGTTTCTTTCCCTTTTATTATTTCTAGTGTAACTTTTGGATCTTATTTACTCTTTTAGTTTCTTACACTAATGAGACAATACAGTGTTCACACATGCAAGTCTGATTTATTTCACTTATGAATACGGCTTCTAGTTGCATCCATTTACCTATAAAAAGCTTTGAGCTTATCATTCTTTATGGCTTAGTATTCCATTGCATAAAAATACCACATCTTTTTAATTCATTCATTGATAGTGGGCATTTGTACTGTTTCCAAGATCTACCTATTATAAATTGTGCAGCTATAAACACGGTGCACATCTATCTCTGGGGTATGATGTTTTCAATTCTTCTGGGAAACTACCCAGAAGGAGGATAGCTGAGTTGAATGGGACTCTAATCCTATTTTTTGACGAACCTCCACACTGATTTACACAGTGGTTCTATACTCCCACCAACAAAGGAGAAGAGTTCCTTTTTCCTCCCAGCCGTGCCAGCATTTGTTATTGGTTAATTTCTTGATGTTAGCCATTTTTTCTGGAGTAAGATGATAGCTCAGTGTTGTTTTAGTTTGCATTTCTTAAGCGACCAACATTGTTGAACATTTTTTCATGTATTTATGTGCTATTTATATTTCTTCATCTGAGAATGTTATGACCTCAGATGCCCATTTTTGGATTGGGTCTTTAAATTTTTCAATTCTTTTTATGTTCTAGATGAAAGTCATTTGTCTGAGGGACAGTTGACAAAAATATTTTCCCAATCTGTAGGTTTTCTTTTTACTCTGTTGGTGATTTATTTCAATGTACAAAAACTTTTTGATAAGATGAGTTTCCAGTTATTTATTCTTTGAAGTACATCCCGTGCAGTTTGATTTTTGTTCATGGACTCTTTGCCTACCCCTGTGTGCTGAAGACTTCTACCTACTTTGTCTTCCAGTAGGCTTAGTATTTCTGCCTTAATACTTAGATCTTTGACCCATTTTTTACTTTGATTTAATACATAGTGATGGGCATGGGTCTAATTTAAGTCTTTGGCGTGTAGAAAGCCAGTTTTTCCAACACCACTTATTAAAGAGGCTGTCTTTCTTCCAGTGAACATGTTTGTGGTGCCATATATTTAGCTTCG